AAGCACTTCAAAAAACATAATATGATAACTACTTGTTATACTACTTATTGTATATATTTAACCACTTAAATTTATTTTTCCACAGGGCTTTTCATTCTGGCAAAAATTTAAAATATATGTATGTGTTTTAAGTATACTGAAACATAATCAGATTGTACTGCTGCTTTAAGAGTCGTCGAGATTATAAATGGCGAAGCAATAACAGTTAAAAATTATTGAAGTGTCAGGCGCAGCGATTTATGCATAATTGCATGGCCAATAAAACGAATGAAATCCCCGTTAAAATGTCAGCAACGATTATTGGCCTCCAGTCCCTTGGATAATTAAGCAGATTGAGTGCTTGAATTAAAAGAAAATTGTTATGTTAAAGCCTTTGGCTGACGTTAAAAGGCGGAGCCGACACATCATTAAAAATGTGGGTAACCGTGCACGTAAAAACAGGGAGTACGAGAAGGACCGACAGCTCAGACAATCGTCCCAACTGGAATATGGACAGACTGGCTGTCAGCACATTAAAGGTAATCACAATATTTATGTGCGTTTAACGAGACACTCCGTAGGCGAAATTGTTGAAACAAATCATTGACAGCTGGCACAGCAGCCACACATTTGCGGTGGTCTTCTATGTATTTTTGGAACTTTTTTGCCGCCATGTTTTAAGACATTTGCTTTCTTGTTTTTTCCTTTTATTGCTGAGGACTTTACCACAATAAATCAGATCTTTTTTCTGCTTAAATTCAATCTCCCTAGAGTCAAAACGTAGGCACATTAAGTTGACAAATAATGGCAGCCATAACAAATTGGATGTGAATTGTGCAAATTATTTCTTGGAATTTTTTATTAAATTCGGATTGGCGCTTAAATATGTTTAAATATTTTCATGATTTTACATGGCAGCTATTTTATAACAAGCAAAAATGTTGTCCTAATCTGGTACATTTTTTTTATGGGGCAATTTGTATTTAAATGCTGGCTATTGTTGCAAAGCAATTAGCAATTAACAGACACATGCTTTTTGTTTTGGATCTTGCTGATAAATGTTCATGAAAATTGCCATTTTGTGCGGTTTGGTGTGAGTTTGCAGTTTCAAATAAAGTGGGCACGAAAATTTCCTGCAAAAAAGGTCCGATTGTGATATATTTAAAATAATGTAAATCATTCCTTCTAACGAACTTTGAGTCTTAGCATTGTGACCCAATTTCTCAAACGATTTAACTTGAATAAATAAATTAGCTACATTTATTTGCATTCGGGTGAGCAGAACAACGAAAAATAATGTACAAGATTCAATTAGGCATATTGGAGTGGCAACAAATCAGTGGCACATTCAGCTGGAGATGATAAACTTTGGGCGGAAGTTTCCGGCACCAGTGCAGCATACGAAAATAAATTCGTGGGTGAAATGGAAAAATCGAGGAGAAGTGATAGACAGTCTATCTGCGTATCTTTATTGCAATCATCTATGTGTGTTTTGCTAAGAAACGTGGGCGTATAATAGACAACTTCCTGTTATTGCCAGCCCATCCCATGTCAGCCTCTCCCTATTTTCCGAGCCATCGGCATGTAAAATTTGTGGAGTGTAAAGTAACCCCGAAAGTCGACAAATCAATGGTGAAGTTTCCAATTTTATGGGGTCCTCTTTTATGTCTGTGATACACGTAAAGTTGCGATTAGCCTGGAGTTCACTGGTGAATGGATACAAATAAATTGAAGGCTTTTTTTTTGCTTGATAAGGACGTGACGAATGGGAAGTATTTGGCCCTTTTCAAATTTGAATCTTGATGATTTCTTTTCAAGTAAGTAGTGTCTGTCTTTAATACAAATTTAATTTTACTTCAAGTAAAAAATTAAGAAAAATAAGTATACTAATACATTTATGCTTAAAAAAGTTAATATTAATGATTTTAAAAACTAAAAAGTATATATTAAAAAGTGTTATACAATTTTATTAATTCTTAACTTTTAAAAAATTTCTACGAAAATATTAAAAGAGTTATTCTATAAAACTTTGATACCTTCCCCAAAAAGGAAAATCCAAAAAAATTCTCTTTGTTTCTACGTGTTGATGTATGAAGTATGCATAAGCAGCTGCTAAAGTACAAATATAAAACCGAGAATATCATAATCAATGCATCAAAAATGTCAGTCGCTGGGAATTGAAACAAACCAAAGCTACAAATGCGATTTGCAATTTTACACGCACGTATCTCTCTGCAAATATGTATCTTGGGGATGGGATGGCGTTGGATGGGACTGGGCAAATAGCGCTCATACGTGATATGGCTGGCACTTCCATTGCATACATCTGGGCTAGCTGTCTTGAGTCGGATCGCCCCAGCTCCTCCTTTGCCTAATGTTTTTGACGTAAATGGGTTGGGTTGCAAGTGAATATGGTCGTTTGGGATCTGAAGGGGATTTCTAGTTCAGTTCACACCACAGCTTACAAGGAGTTCCTAAAGTCGAGAAAGCTTCAAACTTTAACTGTCACATTCGCACACGAAAAATAATAACGGAAATATATAAAAACAAATTGGTATTTTTTTTGTTAGTAATACCTCTAAAATTTTTGAATAAAAAACAAGAGAGAACGCTATAGTCGGGTCCCCGACTATCAGATACCCGTTACTCAGGTAAAGGGAGTGCGAGGGAGATGGAGATAGAAACTTTGATCACGCATAACTTTTTAACGAATGGTCCGATTTCCAAACTTTCTTCTACATTTCGATAGGTATTGATAAACACAATAAAACTGCATTTTTACTTTTCCGAAATATTTAAATTTTTAAAATCGTATCTAAGCGATTGTGGGCGTTAAAGGGGGCGTGGCACCGTTTTGAAACAAACTTGCGCTGCGTAGGAACTCCTAGAATCTGCATGCAAAATGCCAATCTTCTAGCTTTTATAGTTTCCGAGATCTCAGCGTTCATACGGACGGAGCGGACAGACGGACATGGCTATATCGACTCGGCTAGTGACCCTGATCAAGAATATATATACTTTATAGGGTCGGAAACGCTTCCTTCTAGCTGTTACATACTTTTGCACGAATACAATATACCCTTTTACTCTACGAGTAACGGGTATAAAGATACTTTATTTAAAATGAATGCTAATAATATTTTGTATATATGCAAAAGTTATTGGGGGATAAAAAGTTTGGGGAATATACGAAGAAATAAAAAGCCAATATGGAATCAATTTTTCTGTGTGCAGTGTTATATATGCGCATTTTCCGGGCCTATTAATGCCACACAAGGACATGATTAGCCGAGGTCCAAACTTATAAGCTCGTAAAGTGTGTAAAAGGAGAGCCCGCATATGTTGGACGGATTGCATGTCAACGCTTGGCCACGGCCAAGTCAACAACTTCATAAATATGTCGAGCATGTGTAGCTCGGATGACTGCCCCCAACTTTCGGAAACTTCTCCTCCTCGGATGGAAGAACCCTCTGGCAGAGATTTGTGCCACATCATCGCTCCTAGCTGACCATTTTTACGCTTCCGTCTAACAACAAAATGGCATTAAACGCAGATCAATCACAATCAACACCGCTGACCCATATATCCACAGAAAGATACATGACTTGTGGTTGTGAGCGGGGAAGGTGATTGATTTAAGTCGGGGATAGAGTTGTCCTTATGTATACATGAGTGTTGACTGCTACATAAGTTAACTGAATTTCCACTGATGGTTTCCCTCCTTTTTTTTTGGTTTGCAAGGTTTCCTATTTACTCGTCCTTTTGTATTCTTTGTGCCTCGCTATTTTGGCAACTTCCGCACTTGGTAGCACAACAAATGAAACTTAAGTTTTTCTTCGCCAACAAGAGCACTTGTTCAACTTTATCTTGCCTCAATTTCGCTATTAATTGGCAAACACCATTGAAGCCGCGTTTCTGCAAAAGACCATCGTGGTTTTTGTGGGTTTCCCCAGAAGAATTCTTTAGTGGTAGTGCAACCGCCACTTTGAAACAAATTGTCAACTATAAATTCCGAACTTAATTTAATTTTATGCCAAAGTTACTGGACTTATTCATCCAAATCGGTCTGGCTTACACTTGAAAGCTCACAACTGAAGTTGAGGTCTATTCAGGTTGAGGTACATTTATTTGAACAGCTTGCCGACATTTTCGGTAATTTAAATGGGTCAAAACGAAGCCGACAAAATTATTTTTCTATTTATACTTATTATTATTTTCCTCAAAAGAACTTTTGTGAAATTAATGGAGTGTTTTATCTTGCCACACCTTACTCTACAATTCAAGTTCCCCTCTTTTGTCATTTGTCAAATAATTAAATCTATGTAAGCTTGGCTTTTACTGAATTAGTTGCTTGACCTTTTCTGTATTTAATTAATGTGAACTGGCATTTGCAAAAACCTAATAATATTAGGTATAAATTAAATTAAAAGTTTCAAAAAAATGTCTCATAATATAATTTTATTTAATTATATTTAATAAATTTTCTTTCGTAAAAACATGATAAGCCATGTTTTTGTTTATTACTAAATAATAAAGTCAATTTCTAGTACTAAAATTCACCTGACAAATTTCTTCATTTAATTAAATATCTGTTTGAAATTGTAATTAAATTTAATAACCCTGTCAAATTATAAATATTTAATTAACTACAAACAAGTCTAATTAAGTGTTACAACTATATGAAATGTTCATGACAGCATTGCTATTAATTCCTAATGAAATTCCTACCACTCTTTCAATCAATTAGCTAGTACTAAAATAAAATGTACAATTTTGTGAAATCGAGTTGCAATCCTGGTGTAACATGCATAATTGAGTCGGAGTCGCAGAATGGATTTTCATTTCCAGGCGAGCAAAATAATTGCTGAGCTTAGCATGATTTCGCATTCAAATGTTAAGATTAATCACTGTCAACTAAATGCGAACGAATATATAAATTGAATAGATACTTAAGCGCTAAGAGGGAGACATGTTGTCCAAGGCATGGCGCTTAGTAATTGCGCAATCGCAGCGATACTCACCCAAACTACTTGCCGTGGCATGAATTGCAATTGCAATTCCAATTGAATATTGTGCACTCGAAATGGAAATCGAAATTACACTTCGAATTCAAATTGGAATTGAGTTCGGTGTTAAAAAAGTGTTAAACAAGCGGCACTGCCAATTGACCAGCAATTTCACTGGAGGCGATTGACTTCGATGAGTTTCGTTTAGTCAGGTTATCTTGTCTTACAAGTGTCTTGAAAATGCACGCACAACGTCTGGATTTATATGCCAAATTAATTGTTAGCCTTTTTTCTTATGCACCTTTTTATTTATTTTTTTTTTGTGGTAAATAATGTTTTATTGTTTTTTTTTTATCGGGCACTCAACTCTTTTAGTTGACCATTTTTACGAACTTCCCTACGGAATTTGTATTTTTGGCCACACAGCGTTAAGAAATTTCGCGTCTGGTTCAAACAAAATTTCGCATTGAACTGAATTTCTGTGTGTGGCATCGTCGTGCGGATTTTCCTGTTTGGGCTGCTGCTGCTGCTGCTTCTGATGTTGCTGCCGTTGCTGGCTGTTGCTGCTGGCGATGGTGTTGCTGGTGTGCCGACACAACGGCAACACGAAGGCACACGACAACTAACCTGCCGCCTGCTGCCTGATTTCACCCCACATTTAAGTCAGCCGGCTAAAGAAGCCGACAACTGAACAACCAAACAGCTGTTCTTTGTTTATGTTGCCGAACTCGTTTTTGGTCGGAAAGGCTGTCAACATGCTGCAGATATTATTGACCATGTTGCTGCTGCACTTGACCATTCCATGCGGATGTGCACCCAAAGTGTTTCGAGTGTTCAGTTAATATTTATAGCCAATTAATTATTGCTGGCTAGCCAGCTTCAAGGGGGTAAAATAGTATGTGCACCAGCAACATGTTGCTGTCGGCTAACAAGAGCTTATTATTGCACAACATTAAGTGAGCCAAGAGCTTTCTTATCGAGCTGTGATTATTTTATTTTGTTTAACTAATAGGACTTTTTGTTATGAGAAAAACTGAGCATCACAAATTTAATTAGTGCTTTAATTTCATCAACCAATTTTTTTGCTGTTCCAGGAAATACAAAAAATTAAGATGACATTCAACCACAACATTTAATTTACCTGGAAAACAAGTTCCTTCCACGTCGAAAATATTAAATATATATTAAAGGTAAAAAGAAATACCAAACTTACAAACAATTTATGTAAATTCTTTCAAGCTGCAAAATCATATTCCTATATTTATGTATGTACAAAACCTACCTCATAAAAGTATTCGGACATTGCCTTGTAAATTGCACCGCCATGTTTATGACTTTAATTGATCCAACTGAAGTGAGGCAAAAAATTCTGTTGACCCAAATACCAAGAAATTGTATTTTCAATTCATTCAGATTTCTGTGTTGAGCCAAAACAAAAGTAGGAACACGTACCCTACTGATCTTCTGTGCGTTTAAAAAATGAGCAACATAAAGAAATGCTCCGTTCAGAATTCGTGACAAAAAGCCATCAAAATTCAGAAAACAATCATCAACAATCAAAGTCGAGTCAGAGCAATTTTTTATTAAAAAGCCGAAACAAAACAAAGCGACAGCAGCTGCATTTATGAGAACGCAAGTGAGAGACCCGATTCGAATCGCGAAATTTGTTGGAAACTTTGGCAGCATCGCATAAATAAGCAAATTTATTTGTATGATATCTGTAGCGGCAATTTATATCGTTGTAGCATTTATTTATTATGAACATTTTGTCATAAAGCACACGGCTCAGTAAGAGTGAGAACGGGAGGAAATTCTCGCTCGTCATGTTCATCTGTCAGCGGGAGTGCTTTAAAATAAATAAACAACAATAAATAGCTCTTAAATTATGCAAATAAATAGGCGTAAAAATATTCACTCGCCGGCCTTATTAATATATGTATTATATGTATTTTTCATTATTAATATACAGATCCATAAACAAGAACAACGAAGAATCAGGATAATAGCGATTATAGGATGCTCTTCATGGGAGCTACATAAAGAAATTAAACTTTTTTTGTATAATTAATTTATTTTATAGGGATTATTCTTTTGACATGTCCAGATAAACACAAACTTTATACAGTTTGGTTTGACTCAAAATTATTCACCAAGGAAACTGCTTAGTTCAAAAGAAAAACAAGAAAGGAAAGCTAACTTCGGGCGGAGCCGAAGTTGATATACCCTTGCAGAATATTCTGTAAATTATATTCTCCAAAACCGGATCGGTTATTCATATGATGCATTCATAATACTCATAAAAAATCCCAACTTCCTAACTTTAAAAACACCAAAGTTATGTCATTTCCAATCGTTCAGTTATATGGCAGCTATAGGATATAGTCGGCCGATCCTTATGAAATTTGGCAGGTCGGATTGATTGGCCAAAAATAAAACCCATAGATAATCCCAACTTCCTAACTTTGCAAACACCAACGTTATGGCATTTCCGATCAATCAGTTATATGGCGGCTAAAGGATATAGTCAGCCGATCCGTATGAAATTTGGTAGGTCAGACTGATCGGAGAAAAATAAAACCCATAGAAAATCCCAACTTCCTAACTTTAAAAATATCAAAGTTATGGCATTTCCGATCGTTCAGTTATATGGCAGCTATATGATATAGTGGCCCGATCCGGCTCGTTTCGACTTATATACTACCTGCAATAGAAAGACAACTTTTGGGAAAGTTTCAAGCAGATAGCTTTAAAACTGAGGGACTAGTTTGCGTAGAAACGGACGGACGGACAGACGGACATGGCTAGATCGACTCTCCTGGTGATGCTGATCAAGAATATATATACTTTATAGGGTCGGAAATGTCTCCTTCACTGCGTTGCAAACTTTTGACTGAAATTATAATACCCTCTGCAAGGGTATAAAAAATGAAATTCCTCACCCATCTACCAAAAATAGAAATCTAAAATCGTGCAAGTGACGTATTTTGGGTGGGAGGTCGCAAAGTCTCCGAAAAGTCTTGAAGACCTAGCTGACAGCCGACAAATTTATGCCTCTGTCAAATGTTGCAATGCTTACTTGCCTTTTAATTGGCCCGGCCTGCAATTAAAAATTAAAAAATTTCTTATATCAAGTGGCTTATGAACGCTTAACAATCTGCTGCTGAACGACTTGTGGTCGAAATTCGGATGATTTATTTGCGCCGCGGGCCAAACTTTTTTGGGTGATAAATTTCTTGGAAAAGTCTCTGTCTTAAGCTGGTCTAATGCCGTGGTCCATCAAAATTTATCGTTCCGCATAATGCTAATGACTAATATTCACTTCGAATTGCTCACGTTTTGTTTGCCTATGATGCTCATATAATTTAGTTGACATTTTGCAGCTAATCTGCCAAAAAACACTCCATAGAACAACAACAAAACCAGAGAGTTTCAGTGGAACAACTTATAATGGTGATTCTGTATTTCCATTAACCATGGCAACGTCAACGCAATTCAGATCCGACTCAAAGGCTTAGTGGCAGCTTTTCTGCGAATTTTCAACAAATAATGCCTGTTTGACCTCTCTTGTTTCCTCCAATGTTGCAATATTTATGTGCTGCATATGAAGGGAAATGAAATTCAAGGCTTCAAATGCAGGCTAGGATCTTAAATTATAGTCGGCTGTCGTCGGCCTTTCATGGTTCATTTATATTTATGACTAGAATACACACAAAACGAATTAAATGAGATGTTCTTGAGGTTGTTTAGGGAAAATGAAAATTATACCAGCAGATATCATCTCGTTCCTAATAACATTCACATGCAACAGATTGTCAACAAAATGATTTGCTGGCAGAAAGGGTAGAAGGCCTCCTGCAGTGGCCCGCAGCACACGCGTCGTATGCGCAATTTGCATAATGAGGACATGAGGAAAGGACTTGGTCTGGGTATCTTGGGTTTTCCGTTTCGAGGGCACAGTCCCCACGGATAGATGACCCAATTTTCAAGGGTCCTTCAGCACTTTATTGAGCCTGTTTCCCTTGCCTATCCATTTCGCTTTACATTCCCTTTATGTCTTAAGTGTCTGTAACCTGAGGCTAAGCTGTCTATTTTCAGCAGTCCAGACATGGCCTTAAAGCTAGTTGGATGCTTAAGGATTCAGCATGCGTGGCACGGCTGCCGAATCATTCGCCTTAGATACACTCGCCCACAGTCGCCCCAAAGCAGTTCAAAGGTAAATAATCGAATAAATATTTGTAATAATTTTTTGAACGATGAACCACTTCGAAGCGAGTAGCAAGTGGCATCCACAATCAGATGCAGCTCATTAGCATTTGATTAGGCGTCGAAGCAAGCAAATATTTCCGGCAAAGCGGACAAACATTGAACCTTTGGTCTGTGTCATTGCCATTTGCGGTTAGTTGAGCGGCAAAAGGTAAACAAATTTACGGGAAAACTCTCTCACCACCTGCGGCTTGAATAATGAAGTGAGTTGTGTTCGAGGTGTGAAAATATATTGGGTGGCAAGTCAAGCGTTGGAGTGAGTAATCAATATAAATGCGATTTTCGTTCAGAAATCTATCATTCTCAGGTTAATATACGGAACCCCCACTTTTTGAATAAGGAAGTAAATCAAATGTGTTGCTCCCAAAAATACTTATAATTTAGAGCATTCCGGTTATTTTGACAAATAAGGAAAATGGCAAAACTTTGTCAAGAACAAAACAAATATTTGTGTTTATACGTACAATATTTGCAAAAATCATGCAAAAGGCAAAATAAATGGTTAAAAACATATTTTTATACATACGATTTTAGCACTAAAACCAAAGAGCCAATGTCTCTATTGACTTTGGAATATTTTATATGAATTTAATGTTGGATCTGAAACTCCCGTTATCATTAAATTAAGATACAAAATAAACCAAAAAAATTCAACAAAAATAGCTGTTTATATAGGTTATGTTGTATTTATTGATAGACTATTGAATTATTGCTTTTTCTTTTAGAAATCTAATTACCCAGTAGGCCTCTACAATATCTTCCAACATGTTTGTATACTTTTCATTCATTTAAGCTAAGTCACCCGAAGAACATATATAAATGTAACATATTTAAAATACAGTTTATAATTTATTGTGCATTTGCGTTTATTGGTAGAACACGAGGCCAACGAAAGAAAAGAAGGATAAATTTAAAACAAATATTGTGTTTAGTGGAGAAATTGACTGCCCTTCGATGAGAATGGTGCGCCCAAGTCGTCGCAAGGGGATCGAGGAGGTGTACGGATCGAAGATGGATGCTTTGCATCCGGTGAAGTCGGTGGCGATATCGCATGCAGGTATGACCAAAACAACCACCATGCGATCTGAGAGATCGGGCCCAGGTGGTGCAGCTGGCGGAGGAGGAACCATTAGTTCCCGTCAAGCCGATGCTCGTACTCAACGCAGTTTTGTCACCGAAAACGATTACTATATTACCACCAATTTGCCACTGACGGCGGCCAATTTGCGGAATGCCTCCAACTCGATGGCGCATACATCGCCATCACTGATGATTCCCGGTCACGCCCAGCCGTCGCCCTACAACGCCATCTCCTCGAGGCGCAACAACATGGCCAACAAGGCCAGTGCTCGTCAGCCCCAGATCAACAAGATTACGCATTTTAACCTGGCCGAGGGCAAGATGAACAATAGTGTCTACAGCATGGCTAAGCCCAAAGAGGCACATCGAATGCAGCACCATGTTAAGGGCAACACCCAGAGGAGCAACTATCCCATGGATGACAATGCCGAGTTCTCCGAAAAGGAGCTTATGGTGCCCCAGCAGCAGGGAAATCAGGGAAATATGCGCCGGCACAACCAGCACTCTCATGTCCATCAGATGCAAATGCAGTTGCAAACCGGAGTGATGCAGCACCCGCCGCAGCATCAGCTCCACCAGCAGCAGATGTCCAACCACAGTCACATTAAGCAGCAACAGCAACAGCACCACCAGCAACAGCAATCCCGCCACCAACATCCGCAACCACATCCACATCCGCATCCCCATCAGAAGCACTCGCGTGGGCGGCAGCCGATTCCGACGAGCAAGGTGCACGTGAGTACCGCCGATGACGATGAAGAGAAGGACGACGATCCCGAGGAGTTCTTCGAGCTGATACGCCAGACCGTCCAGACGGCCGTAGGAGTGAGTCCTTAACATACACTTAGAGTTTATCAAAATGAAAGGCCCATATTTGATTTTAACTCCAATAGCTTTGGTTCTTGTTAGCTAGAAGTAGGTTTTAAGCAAGTCTATTCTCAGTTACAATCTTCTTTAATTAATATATAACATCTAAATTAATACTATTACTTATGTTATGATAAACGAACCAAAATTTTTAAATATTAAATTCGTAATTTTTGTTGTAAAAAGAAATAGTGAAATATTAAGAACAAGAATGACTAAAGAGCTTTCCTTTCTCCCCTTAGAACACCATATCGGATGGTCTGGTAAAAAACTTTCGGGATCTGAGCCACAAGATCGAAAGGTTTTCGAGCGAGCTGAAGAAGACGAACGAAAACCTGGACAAGCTGCAGGAACAGGTCACCAGTAGTAGGTAATTTCCTACCATTTTCTATAATTACTGAATGTCCTTAAACCCCTTCAGAGGTAATTTACTACGGCGAGGAGAACTCGCGGCACTTCCGCTACTTGTGCATGAAGTCCGAGTACGATAAAATGTTCTATCAGCACCAATCGATGATGGGTGGTAAGCCTACTCCGGAAATGATGAGTCTCTCTAAGGCTAATTTGGCAGCAGCAGCTTCAGTGAGCAAGAATCTAGGCTATAAGCCATCCCAGGGCTTTAAGCGCCCCGGTGGAAAAGGGATCAAGAATCACGGAAAAGTGCCCAGTATCACCAAGAAGGATCTCAATGAGACCCTGAAGACCACCGGGGCTTATCACAGTACCTCCAAGGCTCAGCAACAGCAGCCCAGCAATGAGCTCCGCAAATCGTCTTCGGATCACAGTTTGATGGCCAAGTCCTCGGAACAGAACATGCGCGAAGTCCTGGGCCACATACAGCGCTTCTGCACCCAGATGCAACAGAGCGAAATGGGCGGCCAGATGTCCAACGATCAGCTGCACAATCTCGAGGACATTTTGATTCCCAAGAAAATGTCCAATGGTGGACTGTGCGATACGGGAGTAAAGAATCCACGCAACATTGCGGGCTGTCAGGGTGATAAAAAGCATGATGACACGGAGGTGGAAACTCCCATAGACAGCATGGACGAGACATACACTGGTGTGGACGACTTTCAATTCTCATCGGAAATCTCGTCCTGCAGCGACGACGACGACTGTGGGCTCAAATATCCAAGTGGACCTGCCACGGCTCGTGGACCACCCAAGTCAAATCGAAGGGCGGCCAACAAGGGCGCCGGAGATGGTCAATAATGCAGAAAAACATTTTGCTAAATATTTCTTACCAGACCAGAAACATCGAACCTTTCCTCTGTAATCATCTTAATACTTGTTCAAATTCTTCTTTTGGAACACCCTAAATTTTTTCCCGATCATGTAACCCATAAAAAAATTAGCATTTAGGTTTGGACCATAAATTTAAAAAAAAAGCAAGAACGCAGTATTGCTCGTATTGTGTGTACACGTATTTATGAAATTCGTCTTGGGGATCTCCATTAAACTATGTTCTAAACTGCATCAAAGCTGTGTGTTTTTTGATTGAATATTTTTAAAAATTCTCTATTAATCGTCAAAAATACGACACAAATATGCTATTCTTGGAGTTATATCATCACTTATTGATAATTGTTATTTTCTAATTGCATTACAATTTTTATTTGTATTTTTCTTCCCTTTTTTCGAGCTCTGGTAAAACTGTTACAACTGGCAAACTAAATCGAACAGCAATAAAGAGAAATCTGACCTATTTGGCCCTTGGGAATCCCAATCCCGGCTAAGTAATGCCCATTGGTGTCACTAATAACTGCATATTATATTGACTGCAATGCAAGAACCACATGAGCTGGACAAAACAAGGCATCACCCCCGAGCAGGTGAAAATGAGTCGAGTGGAAAATAAGGCCTAAGACCACCCCCAATAACCCTAACCTGCAGCTGCATTTTTATGGGCTTACGACTGCCGCGGTTCTGCCAGTTCTTCCGCTAGTTCAGTTGGCCAAAACCGTTTAAACGTGAACGTGGTCCGTCGACGACATATTGGCGTGTATGCCGAAATAAAACTTAAATTTAAATAAATTACCATAAAACTGAAATAAGGTCAGCGAGTCAAGCTTTAAATAGTTTTCGGGGCAGAAAAAGTTCAAGCTCGTAGATTAAAAGTGTAGAAATGAAACTTACGCAATGTGGCCAAATGCAATTTGCAGTTTTTCGACTACTGTTGCCTTTGACATTAATTAATAGTGTTATGCAAAACCCCAAAACCCGGAAAGCGCCCTGTGAATGTCAAACCCCAAGGCCCGAGTGTGTTTTTTTTTTTCAAGGATATTCCTCACAACATTTTACTGGGAAACAGTTTAGATTGGATAACCGCAGAATGAAACGAAGCATTTTGATAAACCAAATGGATAACAAATATTGTGCAAGCTGTCAAGAGCTCAACCTAAGAGTGGCCAAAATTGCAATTACTGATCGGCACCTTTGACAGCCAACCCTGTTTCCCACCCTGTAACCCGAAACTTTTACCAGCGAGTCGGCTAATTGCAATGACCAATATTTGAACTGGCTTCTCGGGGTACATATTTATTTGTATAATTATGGGAAAATGTACACACGAAGCGGAAAGCACTCAATTTCGAGTGACAGTTTGAGCCAATAACCATAGCAACCAACGAGTGCCGGGCCTAAGCCAAGTTAGTCAAAACAAAACAGTCAAAACAGGTGCAAAACATTGCCACATCAGTGTTCCGCGTTAGCTTCTTAGGGGGTGGGTTCGAACGAAAATAAAATAAAATAAAACATACGAAAAAATCGAATAGAACATAATTGCATTGTTCGGGGGCACTGCAATACTGCACCCGTTAACACAGCGGCTTACAAATCAAATCGGTCGTCCATGGATAAACAAAATATATGGTTTGAGTGCTGCGTACATCACTGGGCAAATATAAAACGAGAATCGTTTAATTGACCCTAAAATCACTGAGGCGTTCAATTTATTTTTTGCCATTGCCCAGCCATGGCTGAAACCAAAACTATTGTGGCTCGTACTGTCAGAGGGCTCAGTGCGTAAATCTGTGTATTAAGTGCGGTGCAATAAATTCCAAGATTCGCCGCAAAAAAATATCTATTGATTTTCCCGAAGTGAGAGAATATGCGAAACAGAAATATTTTCCACCTCATTACTTTGTACTGATAGTGGGCAAAATCACGAAGAAACGGACATGGAAAAGTGGAAACTGTGCCAAGCCAAACACTGTGTTGGCGTGACATTTTTTAATGCGATTAAAGTGCATCACTCTCCACGCAGTCGGCAAATGGTTGAAGTGGTCGGAAAAATGGCAAAAGCTAAAATTAAAATTGTTCAGAAGTTCGCATAACGATTCAACTGCTCGGTTCAAAGTTGTCGCCTTTAATTGTTAATATCCCACTTACAATTTCTTTCTGTGTTCTAGAGTGCTCTTAAAATGCTACCAACTATCCGTACATGTTGAAGAAAAGACTGGAAAAATCCTTTTCATTGTTACGGACACTTTTTTGTTTAATTAAAAACCATTAAACTTTAAAAAATAAAGTCATGAGTTCGTGGCAGTCTGGCCGGAGGAAGCCATTACCGTTGGGTAAGTGCTCAGTAAATGTTGAAGGGCAGAAGAGAAATGCAATGGAATAAATGACATCTTAAGGGGATTTATTACATTTATTCTGAGAATATTTCAAGTGCTTAATCTGAAGTGGCAATTGACAATGACATTTTGAGCTTTGTTGATTTCTACTGAGCCAAGGTATTAGTCAATCGATGGCTTAACAAGACATTTTTCAAGTACTTATTTATTAATCTTAAAGAGGACCTGCCAAGGTGACATCAGCTTGCAAATCATTCTGATGTATCAAGCTTATCTTAGTTGATTTTCCTTAAGTTTTCACTTATATTTTACAATTTAAATAATTATTATTAATTTTTAATTATTAATCTTTTAATAATTGATAATATCATTTTGTTGAGTAAAATTTTTTGCTTGTCCCCAAAATAAGAAATACTTTTTATTATTTACACAAATTTATTGCATCTCAGTTTAAATATATTTAAAAACATAAAATTAAACTGATTGGATGAATATTTTTTAAAACTAAGACTGTTTTTTTTGGAACTTTAAGTGTATGGGAGCGTTAAATGAAATAGTTACAAGTATATTTCCGATAACGCGTCAGGAAAAAAAGAATGGTTTTTGAAATTAATTAAATTGTGACCTAAATTTCCAGCTCTGGTATGCATCCTATTCACACTGCTCTGCATCTTGGTCTGCAATGGGGTGGAGGTGACATCACCCACTAAGAAGTCCGCTCCCCTTCGAATTACCAAACCGCAGCCCACAAGTCAACAGGCCAAGCCCATCAGTATTACCACAAAGGCCCCAACAACGGTGGCTGAAACCACCGACGATGGCGTCTCCAGCTCCGTCGATGGCCAACTGGCTCCACTCATCTCATCCACAACCGAAGGGAGCAGCAGTGGAACCACGGCCAACTTAGTGCCGGAAATATGTCACAAAGGTCTGCAGTTGACCGTCAACAGTGCGGATGAGGGAACAGTGATACGAAACCAGGAGGAGTTTGTCCAGATACTCGAGGGCTATGTGATGCTCAGTGTTCTGACCAAGGATCCTGACTCGGCGTTGTTCGTTATCAATCGAGTGAACCAGGCGAATATCATAATGGCAGACTTTGAAATTGGTTGGTATAAGACGAAATATTTAAAACCCCGGTTACTAAAATAGGAATGTTGCCTACATGGTAACTACAAACATTATTTGTAGTTAAAAGCAATTTTATTATTCAACAAATTATTTTCAACAAATTATTTTCAACAAAGTATTTCCAACAAAGTATTTCCAACAAAGTATTTTCAACAAAGTAGCATAACAAAACCAAATATTAAATTATAGGAATTCGCGCCATCAACATCGACAACGACAGTTTGGCGGAGAATTTGCTCCTGCAGGAGGTTCAATTTCTGCAGCAATGCACTCCTCACTCCATGGGCATTTTCCTTGACTGGGAACTGTACAAACAACTGGAGTCGACTATAAAGGACCTTGAGTACAATATCTGGCCAATACCAGGAACACGCGCCCAGCTTTTCCCCAAAGTGGCACATTTGTTGCACCAAATGCCTTGGGGCGAGAAAATCGCATCCGTGGAAATTGCTGCCGAAACTCTGGAGATGTACAACGAGTTCATGGAGGCTGCCCGCCAGGAGCACATGTGCTTGATGCACTTCAAAAGTGACGAGAATGTGTACATAATGTTTGGCAATAAGCTGGCCAGCAACTTCAAAGAAAATGGAACTCTGTTTTCCGTTCCCACCGATCGAACAGACGATGAATTTATTGCAGGTAAGCAATAAAGTTTTGAAAATAAAATAAAAGTTACCTCAAGAAAATAATGAAAATGTATTTAAGAAAAGACCGAACATATTCCAGTATTTCCACTTTTTGTATTTACTAGGATTGTTGTCTACGTTGGTTTTATTATTTTCGAAACATTTTTGGGAACTAAATAAATGTGAAGCGTTTTTTTTTATTATTTCAGAATAATTATTAAAACTAGGCAGAATTTCACTCTTATTGTCTTAAGAAACCAAACTATTAAAAACCAATTAAAAAAGGTAAAAATACTTGTGATCAATATATTACAGATCTACCAAACCGAGCCTTTATCTTGATGGAGAAAGAAATCGACTTAAGTACAACCACCGAGCTAGACTCCACGCACTCCACTCTCGACGAGATCCTGATCGGGAAGAGCGTGCTGCCGTCGCGAGTCCTGAGCTTCGCGGGCACCATAATCGACCTGATGAACTGGCTGCGTGGATCCCTGTCCAAGCACTGTAAACGGGATGAGGAAAGTGACTTTTATGAGGTGGAGACCTGCTTCAACTTCCTAAACTTCATCGAGGACTGGAGGACATCGGAGTATCGTCAAGCCCATGATACAGCTGAGATCCTGTCGCGACTGCTGATGCGGAAAATGGGCACCTCCATGAATTTCCAAATGTATCAGAAGAAAGTCCAAACGCTAGACAAGATCACGGGGGAATCCCGCACCGAATTGCGTGAGATTGCCACGCAGAACTTTGTGAGCAATGTGACCACCTACTACCACTACAATCGGGATAATCACACAAGTCTCGAGCTAAAGACCAAGTTTGGACAGGTGTTCAACTGCCAGTACAGTGCGGGTGATAATAGGAGATATCCCTTCCTGTTCGATGGCGAATCGGTGATGTTCTGGCGCATCAAGATGGACACGTGGGTGGCAACTGGGCTGACTGCCGCTATTCTCGGCCTGATTGCCACGCTGGCCATCCTGGTGTTCATTGTGGTGCGCATTTCGCTGGGCGATGTCTTCGAGGGCAATCCTTCCACCTCAATCCTGCTCCTTCTGTCCCTCATCCTGGTCTTCTGCTCCTTTGTCCCCTTTTCGATTGAGTATGTGGGCGAGCAGCGCAACTCGCATGTGACCTTCGAGGATGCCCAAACTCTGAATACCCTGTGTGCGGTGAGGGTTTTCATTATGACTCTGGTCTACTGTTTTGTCTTTTCCCTCCTCCTCTGCCGAGCCGTGATGCTGGCTTCGATTGGTTCGGAGGGTGGCTTCCTGTCCCACGTGAATGGCTATATCCAGGCGGTGATTTGCGCCTTCAGTATCGTCGCCCAAGTGGGCATGTCCGTGCAGCTTCTAGTGGTGATGCACGTCGCCTCGGAAACCATATCCTGCGAGAATATATACTACGGCCGATGGCTATGGGGTCTTTTGGCCTACGACTTCGTACTGCTTTGCTGTGTGGGCGCTTTGATACCCTCTATATACCGATCGCAACGCAACTATCGCGAAGGAGTCCTCATCGTGATCGGTGCGGTGCTCATTATGGTGATTTGGGTCGCCTGGATAGCATTATCCCTGTTTGGGGATGAGTGGCGCGATGCGGCCATTCCGCTGGGACTACAGGCCTCTGGTTGGGCGGTACTGGTGGGCATCCTGATACCTCGCACCTTCCTCATTGTGAGGGGTATTGAGCGGTCGGATATTGCCCAGGCCCTGCCCTCGCTAACATCGCTGGCGTTTGCCCAGAACAATCAGTACTCCTCGGATCAGGTACGTTGCTATTAAGTGGATATTATAATAGAAACATTATGTTAAAACTTTAATCTTATAGAGTGTCTATGAGTGCGTGAATCCAGCCATGCGGCACTGTTCACAGGAGGAGATGAACCACCAGTCGCCCAGTGAGATTCCAACGTTACCCTTGCGAGGAGGAGGCCCACGTCGCCAGCAGTTCTTCGCCAATCTCCGCCAGGCCAATGCGAACATCAATCCACAACGTCCTCCTCCGCGACCCCAGCAAAGTCCTTCCCGCTCCTCGGTTTCTTCGCTGCCCCCCTCGCCCGATCACAACAAGATCACGAGATTCTAAGCCACTCCGTGTGTCATCAGGCACTTCTAGTCAAAGGTCCCAGTACGTGAATTCACCTAAAAACTGTTCAACATTTTGAATCACTGACGAACCAAGATCTTAAGGAAGTTGAAATAATAAATCAATAAAAATACCCATTATCACTATGTAAAATTAAAGAATGTCTTGTTTTTATAATTTATTTAATTTAATATTTATTTTTCAGTGATGAAACAGAAATTCTTCTTTAGCATGTTCAAAGAAGTCTGTATACCCTTGCAGAGGGTACTATAATTTCCGTCAAAAGTGTGCAACGCAGTGAAGGAGACATTTCCGACTCTATAATATATATAAATTCATCACCAGAAGAATCGATCTACCCATGTTTTGAGTTTAGTTTATTTCTGGATAATAATTTTACGGTTATTGAGAAAGGACATATCAGAAGTCTTACTAAAATTTTGTGGTCTTTTCGTTTCAGCACGAGCAATACTTGTTTACCAATTTTGACATTTATTTTAATTTATATATCCAGCTTGAAAATGTTTATCACTAATATAAAAGTAAATGAAATAATTTAATGGGATTATTTTGCCTACTGCAATTACTCAAACACATTGGGCCCCTGTTTAGATAAAACCGCTCCTTTAACTTTCCGCCCCAATAAATATTTATATCTGAAATGGTTTGTGCCCCCGCTGCACAAAAGCTCCCAAAGCTCGCAGACTTTCTCCGCCTTTCTCTCTTTTTATCGGACCATAACTCTAATTGGCTGGGCAAACACGTGACAGAGCAAACAACGAAAGCTAGAAAAAATCATCTAAGGCAGAACGGCGACGACGACAATCACAGGACTCGATATCCTTGTGCGTCACGCGACATTGGACGACAGTTTGTTTGGCCTTGGCGAGGGGCGCAGGAGAAAAGGGGGGTCGCAGGAGGACGCTGACGTCAGGGTGACACTGGCCGGGGGCCGAACATTGACCGTGGTACATGGACAAATGCGCAACAAGATATGCTATCAAGCCGCCACAAAGGCCGGCAAAAAGCGAGGTTACCACAAACTACCGACTACACGCGACCATTTCAACTGGCGCCGATTGTGCTGACAATGCCACGCGCCAGGCATTAGAGGGTTAAGAATGGAGGAGTGGAGGGTGGGAGGTAGGAGGTAGGAGCCAGGCCAACCTCAATAAAGTTATGCTTTGCCATGTAATCTGGCCCTAAATCCCCCTAAAATCCTCACTCAGTTGTGTGTATGGCATACTTTTCGGGGCAACGTGGAAAGCGCTTTGTTTTCCGCGCTTTTCCCTGCACTGGCCGTTGGCATAATTTGCACTTCATTTGCCGACACACACAAAAAGGAAATGTCTTAGCCTGCCAAGGACAAGGATAAGGATTCGTTCGTGGGCGGTTGCTCTGATTGCCGGGCGGCGATAGCACTGCGAAATGAGTTTTTCCTCTCGCCATTTTCCTGTTTATTTTTGTATGGCCGCCGCGTTCTGTCCTTGCGTATGTTTTGGCATAATTTCCAGCACAGTTTTTGTAATTAAATTTGCGCCAGATAAGAAAAGATGCAAATAGGGCGAATGGGCCGGGTAGATCCGCAGTTCCGTGCAACTGCCCTCATAATTGGCCATGTTGAGCATCACCTAATCTTGGATTCCGGCTGGAGTGTGTGTGACACTTGACTGTCAAAAGCTGTGCTACGTGACATTATTAGCAATGCAGTCCTGCCGCAATATCGCCCATCCGTGCGCTCGTCCTTGGCTCCTTGGCGTGCTGCCGGCTACACAGCGTTCCACGGGGCGTATGATTTATGACTATGACAGAACTAATGATGCCACATTCGTTAGATGCCAGGCGTGCGCCCAAGGCGAGAACACATCCAATGGCACAGGGTAATCTATTTATTTATATATATATATATGCTATATATTTATATATAATGTCTCCCAACCAAAATTCAAATCTAATTTCGAGGCATCGCAGGCTATGACGTATTCGGCCCACGCTAAAGATAGCCCAACATTCGGCGAACAAAATCATAAAAGTCGCTTCCACTTGAAAACTTCTACTTTTAGTTCAATCTGGCATAAGAAAAGTTTTTCCTTTGTCAAAACATGCCGTAAAACACCCACTCCATTCACTGACTCGTGAATGATTCAATAGCGTATCCACCGGTTCTGTGACGACATCAAACTCATCTACCGGTAAAAATCAGACATTACCAGTTTGAGGCTAGCACTGAGAGAAAAATTAATTTTTAAGTTTTTGCTGAGAGATTTTAGTAAAACTCTTCTGATCTACGAATAAAAATCTTTAGTTTTTTAAAATTTAAATAGATCAATATTAATTATAAATTGTCACTTCAATATCAAATCTGAAAAAATGTGTCCTCATCAACAAAATATCATTAAAAGTTTAAATATTTCAAAAAAAATTAAATGAAAATCTTAGAACGCTGGATATCCAATCGAAATTCTTACCTTCTTTTTTTTAAGTTAGGTAAATTAAGTTAAGTTCTCATAGATTCCATAGAAAAAATGAAAATATATCTAAAAAATTTCTTTAAGTCTAGAAACATTTTGTTTAAGAATGCGTATCTGCGCTGGCATGTCGCCAAATGTGCGCCACATCCTGCGACGCGCTTTCCATTTGCCTATATTAGTCATGCGGCCCAAAAAAGACATGTGACGCTCGGGATGCCACCCACTCCAAGGAAACAAGGAAGTCAAGCTTTTACTATGCGGAGACGTCAGGGGATGGCGCTACTTTACAACTACACCGACTTCGAGGGGAGTTTTCCCATCGGTACTCGCACTTTTCCACGCGGTTCGCAGATAGCGGCAAAGCCAAAACAAAAAGCTTTTCATTCATCAAATGTAATCGGGCGATGGGCCAAGTGACGCGTGCAAGTGGAATGGATATATGGCGGGAAAGGGACGCACTCTGGGTAGAGTTTGCGCCATTTGGCAGCTCGTGGAGCTATTTTTCGCCTATTTTGTGGCTGGCTCTTTGCTATTTTCGACACATCTCGCTGGCCAACTCGACGAAGCTTCTATTTCTGTGCACTGACTTTTCATGTGAGGTTGTTGCTTTTTCCCTTTTTTCACTTTTTGACTTCTTCAATTGCGCTTTGGCGTTCATTCATGAAATTTGACAAGCCGACTCGAGTTAACCAAACAAAGACGAATTTACAGCTTTCTTTCTTTTGTCACTTTAATTGCCTTGGGTCGGCTATTTTTAAAGTCTAATTGAGCTCTCGGTGGGAGTTTGGAACAATACAATTTATGTTATATGGCTTTGAATATTTAAAGGTTTCTTAAATCACTAAGACTCGCTTCAGGCTCATTTAAGGCTGAATCTTTAAAGCACTATTACAATTTATGTTATATGCCTTTGAATATTTAAAGGATTCTTAAATCACTAAGACTTGCTTCAGGTTCATTTAATGCTGAATCTTTAAAGCACTATAATATTACTTGTACTATTTAAAGTCAATTTAAATCATGTTTGAATTATTTTTTAATATAATGCAATGATCTTAAATATCATTAAAATTTTATGTCCTTTTTAATGAAATTTTTTATTTCCCGAAGTATTTCAAATCGGGCAACAATATTCTTCTCATAAAAAATATATAAATATTCGTTCTCAAAATTTATTTAGACACTTAAAAATATAATTCAGAATAGTAAATATGACACATATAGCCCTAATCAAGTTTAATCTTTGTTTCTGATAAATAAAAATTATTTTATGGTGAAATTCTTTTTAAAATAAATCAACCATAACTCAAACTCTGACGAATTCTCCCGCTCCAATTCCCCGCATCACTTTCCCTCTCTGCGAACAGCTGTGAGCTGGTGGCCCCCGCTCCTGAAAGCTTTCGTCAAGTTGACGAAGCTTTCCCAATGCGATCCACAGCAGCAGGAGCAACATCCTTGAACAAACGCATTGGAGTCCAAGGGGCTTTTCGCGTTAGTACGCGACGTTGACTCCGAGAGAACAGACACGGGGCTGAAAAACGGCTTCAGCAACGGGAAATTCGCTGAAACAGGACTTCTCACACACGCGCACTTACACACACACAACCGCACTCGGCTCTATATACATATATAAGTGAAGCGCCAAGTGCTAGTGTCCTAGAAATTAAGCACAATACGAGAATAAACCAAATCGAAGGCGATAATGGAAAATTAATTAGGAAGGCCTTTGGCCAAAGGGAAAGTGCAAGTGAAAAGTGCCTGGAAGAAGCAGAAAATCACACACTCACTAACCAGCACACACACGCACACAAAGGAAACGTCATATGCCAGAGGCATTGACAGGAGCTCCCGTGGAAAAGCATTTTGTGTATCCTATTTTGTGTGGCAGCGCCAGGAGAGCGTGTCCTTAGCCATAGTGGCCAACAAAAACAAAAACCAAGCACATCAATTACACCGTGTAGTTGCCATAATGATAGATTTCAAATATAAATTGAGCAAATTATCGTACAGAACGTGCCCCGCTTCGAAAGTCTAAAAATAATCGCGCGTCGCCAACTTGTCGAGGGCCCGAGGTTCCCCATCATCAGCCAAACAGCCAACTTGATGTCGAAGGGTCTAAGGCACCGCAACTGACTTTAAATTATGCATGCACATTGATTTTCCAACCACGGCCCAGTTGTTGTTGGCTGTCGTTATATCCCCATCATCTATATATCACCAGCCCATCGGCTTTGTTGTCGCATGTTATCAGCGGAACTGGCGTCGTCGACGGCTTTGTTGAATGCGAGTTATCAGCGCAGCAGCAACGGCCCCACAAAAGGTAAGCAACCGCCTGGACCACGCGGCGTATGGGTAATGGGAAAACACTTTATTGATCAGGATACACAGGCCAAACGATGTTAATGAGAGCTCATCATTCTTAGCCAGTCCTAAGAATGAAAAGGCAGCTATCGGAGATAAGCAGGATAAACAGGAATAAGAAGAAAATCTTTTAAATAGGTGTGGTTGACCTAAGATAGCTATAGAAAAAGCTAAAGGGTGCTCTTTAGCAATTCAGTGACCTGAAAATAAAGTTTTCTTGCGGAAGCGAAATTTCCCCAGCTAAGTGTAAATTTGAATCACTGCAATCATTGCCCAATATTAAAAAAGAAACGAGAACTAACACGATACTGTGGCTTAAAATCTTCTTTCTGAAAGCTATAATATTAACCTCATAAGATTTATGATGCTCATTCTTAATTTGAGCACATGTATATATTTCCCATACTTCGCTCTCTATATATGTAGCCTCTTTCTTAGCTCTGTCGTTCTCCTTCCCTTTCCTTAATTTCAATCAAAATGTCATAAAATACATTTATAACTCATTTACAGTGCTTATTAACACATACACAAAATGTGCGCCAACTCATTAACGCCCCCAGGACATGAGCTATGCGAGGTCTCTAGTCGTACCCCCCATTCTACGCCCCCATCCTCATTCTGAATGCTGCGTCATTGTTGGCACTACAACTGCTTTTAATCAGATTTCAATTATAATTCCATTTTACTGCACTAATGTCGTTTGGCTCCCACTGCCGGCTGCTGTGGCTCTCTGGAAATAGCCTCAAGCCACCCACATCCATCTGCCTTCGCCCAACGCCCACCGCCCACCGCCCACCTGAATCCACCCACGGGGTAATTTCCATTTGTGCAACAGCATTTTAATGCAATTTATTGGCGCTGACAATGGCCAGTTCACTGCGCCCAAGGCGTTAAAATTTCCATTCAAAAGTGCCACCGGAAGTACGGTTATAAAATGTCAGCAACAATGGCAACCCAAAACAGTGGCCCACATCCGGTATGCAACTCGCACGTGTCTTTGTGTGCGTTTTGCTGACGTTTTTCTAACGATTTTACGACTTGATGTCATGCACTGTAGTCCTTCTCCGTTTTTCCTAAAATTTCTAACGACATGCAACAAGGAGTCGGGCTGAAATTGACTTTATGGTCCGCATTCAACCAGACAATTGGCTTAATTATACAAATTGCTTGGCGGATTATAAATTACACTCCAGTTTGCATAACGAAGGTATTAAGAGGTGCATTTCGCAGAACTCTCTTCAATACTCCAGAAATTGCTTTTCGTGGAACACTTAAACGTGAAGTCCTTAAGAACCTTACTTTGAGCAATCCAGCTATATGATTAATTAATTAATAAATTAATTATATTTTTGTAATTCACACAGTATTTTATACTATATTTGTAATCTATTAATAATTACAAAAAATAGCTTATATCTATATGCTTAAATTATTTTTTTAACGTTGCTAAAACGTTGTACATTTAATCATTATTTTAAATAGATATTATCCCCAGTTTTTCCATGGGTACGTGATACCATTCCATTGGCCTCTTGGTTTTACAGTAGTGATAACTAGAAAAGCCAAAATTATCAAGTTCATGATTATGCGAGGAGGTGCTGGATTTATGAACCTGTTTTCAACAAATGATGCTTATATACTGAGCCTAATTAAATGGAACTAATGTCAGCTATACCATTGAAAATCGCTTTTAATAAATGTCGATCTGTGTGCATATCCAAAAGCTTTGTCTAAGATTTCATGGGTGTATATTTTAAAAAACATATTTTCGTGATAAAATAGTCCATTTTTGGGCTCAAAAATTTTTAATAAAATAATTTTTTTGTATTACTTTATACTTTCTTTATTGATTAAGTTCTCTTCCCAGAAATTGCTTTAACAGGTTTCAGTATAGATATACCCTAAGCCAGCTAAAAGATTTGACAGTACCTTTTTTGGATGGAACTATTATGTGTCATGTTTATGACACGAGTGAAATCCAGTTTCTGACTCCCTTCTTCTATTTTTATATTTTTCGCAGATGAAGTGTGCCCCTCGACAACAAGTGACAAGTGCTACACAACGACAGGAGCAACATCAGGAGCAGCGGCAACAATTGCAACGACAGCAGCCACAATGACCAAGCAATTGACAACGGCAACTGCAACGAGTGCGGCATCGGGAATAGGACAGGCGGGTGATTTGGCGCCCACAGTTATATCCCCAACCGCAGCCACGACTCTTGAGACAGGATCAAGTGGAGGAGCAGGTGGAACCACATCACCTGTCAGTGAGACTACAAAGACTTTGCCACAATCCGCAAAACCAGTGGCGGAGGAGAAGCCCTCGAGTAGCGATGCCAGTGGCAGATCGGCGGCTCTGGAACGTGCCTATGTGCACGATGTCTATGAGCACTGCGAGGAGCCAACGGGTCCGGTTCGTCCGCGGATGGCCCACTTCCTCAGCGGCCTCGATCCCGGATCCGTGGTCTGTGACGTGGGCTGCGGTAGTGGGAGGTATCTCACCCAATGCAATCCGGCGATCTGCACCATCGGCGTGGAGCGCTGCTATCGCCTAAGCAAAGTGGCCCACGAAAAGGGCGGCGAGGTATGTCCTAACTCCTTTAGTTAAATATCACTCCTTCGCATATACTAAACCTATAACAGAAGGTCTGCTTCCATTTGGAAAACCGCAGGGTGCCAATAAAAATGTATGGTAACGTTAGGATACCTTGTTTCCTTACAAATTTTGAGTGCCCTTTTGTTAAATGATAGTATAACTTTACAATTTATTGGTAATAAATTGTATAAAGCTTGGCTTTATTTTCAGAAACACTAAAAATAAATGTTTATAAGGCCATATAATCGAAAAAAAATGTTTGGAGTAGGCACTTGCAACACCTTATAATATCTATGAACAACCGGATGAAATTCAAGGCTATTTTATGATTTAAATAAATTTTTGAAGAAAAAAAGATTGTTCTTTTGGTTTTTTGAACTTATAAAAACAATCGATGAGTAAAAAAAAACAAGAACAATGCCTGATTTCGGCGAACCGAAATTGTATACCATTGTACTTATGTATAACTACACATTTAGCAAATATACCTGTTTGGTGTATTATTGAGTCTGCCGATGTCGATCAAATCAAAAGGAGCCAACATTTTTGGATGGTTTATTATTTTTATAGTTATTCAGACAAAGCGTTTTACACTCTCATTTGTTGCCATTCAATTTTATTAACTATTATTATTGACTATTATTTTTTACTCCATGTGCCAATTGGGCCCCATGGATACCTGATGATTCGGGCATCTGTCCCCACAAGGCCCACAAGTAGGAAGATCGCAATTCCCATATAGATCTTCATAATAAAGCTAGGTGGTGGTGCTGGTTCCGTTCCCGTTATGGAGTTGCTAAGTAAATGGAACTAATGTCAATTACACATAAGCAAATTGATTTTATTAAAAGTTATATTGCTTTTAATACCCATGACTAACTAACTATGAAAAGACATATGAGAACATGCCATAGCAAACTAGAACAGAATATAAGTCCTGTAAGTAGCGATTTTTCAAGTTTTATTTTTGTTTTCCTATGTAAATCTAATTTTTTCTATTCATTAAGTATTTTAATGAATCTTTTGTCATGAATTTATTCTGCTAAGTAAAACTTATGAAAATCACAGGAATAACTTTCTAATTTTTTATGGACTTTTCTTGGAAGTATACCTTTTTTGATTAGTTACACAGTTTCAAGAATCATGTCCTTTTTTAAAGTGCCCACGTGTGTTCTTGATTAGCGAAAATTGCGCAATGAGCTTCGCATGAACTCATCAAGTTTGTGTGAAATCTAATTGCAGCCTGCTAATTGCATGTGTTTGGTGCGGTCGTGTTCCTTGGAGTTCTCTTTGCCATGCAATTGGCCCATTTTCTATTTTCCATTTTCCTCTAACAAGCCGCACAGGGAGCAGCAGATTGAATCGGGGAAAGTGAGAGGGCCGTTAAACATTTGCTAGATTCAAATGCTGGTTGCTCCACTTAAGTTGGCCATTAGCAGCACGCATAAATTATGCTTATCATTGGGAATTATTTGCACATGTTCCGCCCGCCTTTTGCATTTGGGAGTTTTTAATGCCTTATAATTGCAATGGTCCACAACGGTGTCGTAAAACGAGTCATTTGGAGAGCCAGCCAACGAGCCAGATCCCATAAACTGCAGATGACTGGCAGCCAAAAAGGATGCATAATCGCCAATTGCATTTAATGCAGTTCGAGTTGCAGCAGCTTTCGCTAACAGTTTCAGAATCCTCCACGTTGTAAGCTGCAATAAAATATGCCAGTCAAAACCGATAAATTGAAATGTTAATCGAGTATAAACACTTTAACTAAAAGTAAATTGCATGACTGGTAGGAAAAATTAAAACAAATCTAGTCGATTTTTGTTTTTTAACTTATCATTGAAAGATTGCCTTTACTTATAATGTAAAATCTAAAATAATGCATACCCTAGACACTTTTTATTGTGAGCTAAAATCTCTGCCAATTGTATTTTACAATGTAAAATTATTTTCGTACTCTTCAGAAAAATTGTGTTCATAATGTAGTTAAAAAATTCTACAGTTTATAGGGTGAAAGTGCACGCCTCGAACTGCTGGCACAATTAAGTGATACGCTCGACAATGTCATAATGAACATGAAGAACAGCGCACTTAGTTCTCCCCTCGAACAGTATTCCCTCAACTACGACCCAACTCTGCTGCATAGTTTTTCCATTTTCTTTTGTCCCGCTGCTGCTGCTGGCAACCCCCGACATTTCCTTTTTACAAGGAACAACAATAAATTGCGATCCCCCGACCGACTATACTATATAAAAACCGTTATTCAGCGGCATGACTGCCTGAGGTATGCAATGCTTTTTCCCATAATCTATTACTAACGCTCCGCGCTTATTTATGGTGCCATTTCCAGGCGGTAGTGTACCATTTCTCAAGAAGTGGATAATGCCCTTCTCGGACTTTTTACTTTCCACGCCGCCGTAATAATCGACAACACGTATTCTTCGCATTTAAATTGCTTTTGCGTGGAATTGACAGCAAGGTTGCAGCAGCAGCTGCTGCATTTCGCCCACCTATTATCGTAAGAGGCTTTATTTATTTAAAAACATGCCATATTACCGTGACCGGACAGAAGCTTATTGCCTCCAATTATTTGTCGACGAGTCCTTGACATTTGGCTTGTCACTGATTGTCCGCATGTGTTTCTAATCACTTTGCCCTGATAATTTGCATAGCAAAGCGGTTTCAATCGGTATTTATTTCTATTTACCTAATGTGTTTAAAATAAACCCGACAGCGAATGCACAAAATGCGCACGTGACATGCAAGCGAATGGAAGTTTTGCTGCGGGATGGCAAAGTTTATGCAAAACCAATTTAACTTGGCCCGGACACAAAGTTGCAACTTTGATTTCTGCAGCTCGTGCATGGCCTGATTTTCAATAATTTTGTGAAGCAATAAAACCGGCAAGTGGAGCAGCCAAACACGAGCACCAAAAAATCACACTACCAGCGAGACATCCTCGTAAATCTTAACCCGCCCCAAAAATGGCGCATAAAAATGGCCAACAGGACCGCAGAAACATAAAAAGTGAAACTCAATAATGGCAGGTGCAGAGAGCTGCTTTCTGGGCCAGCTGAAACCTGCAATTTTCTGAGTTTTTTAGATGGCCTGAGCCTCCGTTCCTTACCAAAGCGCCATTTAAATAAGCCGCAAAGAGACTGCATAAAGTATGTGCGTATATATTTCCCTTTGCCTTCAGTTCAGTGCTTTGGCCTTATTTGCGAGCAACGCGGCGTATGCGTAATGAGTTTTATTTTCAGTTGGCAATTTTATAATATATTATGCTTACATTTGTATTTTCTTTACTTTGCATATACCTTTTTGCTGTGTTCTAATAATAAATAAATAAACTATATATGTTCTATTTAGTTTCCCATGTTTTAAGATTACTTTTCAATTTGGTTTTTGCTTCCCACAAGGTCGACAAGCTGATAATAGTTAAACCTTTAGCTTGTTTTTTAGGAGGATCGCTTCTATAACAAGTGTAGTTTTTAGCCTGTTGTTTTCGATAAAATCAAACAGCTATTGGGCGACATTTTTATTATTTTTATTATTATTTAATGTGTTTTCCACGTGCTTATTGGGCCCCATGGAACCCTGATGATTTGGGCTTCGGTCCCCACAAGGGCCACAAGTAAAAAGCTCACAATTCCCATGTATATCTTCATGATAAAGCGATGAGGTGCTGATTCCGTTTATTTTATATAGATTCTTATTAAATGGAACTAATGTCAATTACACCAAATCAAATTGCTTTTATTAAACGTCTAATTGATATTCATATTTTACCCAAAGAGTAAAAAAAGGGAAATAAAATGACGAAGTTTGCTTCCTTTCTCACTATTTTTGTAGTTATGCGGCTCATTACAATTTATTTATTAACGCGTATATTCGTAAAGTAAACGGGTATAATATATAAAATATATATATAGATATTATATACATATATATTGTATATATATTATATATAAATATATTATATAAATGCACTTTTTAAAATGTTCTCCTTCTTTTCCCTTCGACAAAGAACTGAAGCTTTGGTCTAAACTGACATTTTTTTTTCAGCGTGACCAATAAAAAAAATTTAAAAATTTGTTTTTGCTTACTTAAAGGCTTAATAATTTTTCGTCACAGAATTTAATACCAGAAATTGTGTATGTTGAAAGTGCGATCGTTACGCCATTTTTACGTCGTTAAGAGGATGTTTTGTTTGATACATAATAGAATCTTTTTCACTGCGTTGCAAGTTTTTCACTAACACTTTTTTTAGTAGGTTAAAAACATTTGATATATGCTGACAACATTTTATTATTAAAAAATACAAAGGTATATGTCATTTATCTATAAGTCTGTTTTGGGTTTTTGCCTAGCACTTTGACACGTGCAACGTGTCGAATGCGTAACGATTTTTATTACCAGAAAACCATTGCAATATAACAATTTTCTTACTATTTACTATATTTATAATAACATAAAAAGAAAATTCCATGCTAACAATATAGTAGTAGGAAACTACTAGAGTTTGTGCCGCCTGACTTTTCGCCCTTTCTAAGGCGCTGCGCTTTGGCCTCATTAGCGTGCAACGTGGCGTATGTGTAACGTGTTTCACTTTCACCTGACACTTTCCGCCTAGAAACCCTGCCAACATAAATTTCAAAGGCGTCATGTGCCCGACCCGCGTGACACTACACACATCGCACACCCACAAAAGCCCCTCATGTGAAAAATGGCATCTGCTATAAATACGATTTGTAAAGCGCACTAGGAAAAACAAGGCAAATAAAGGAAAACTGTCAGCGAGCGCATTCATCGCTTCGTGGACATCGAAAGGAGTAACTGCAGAGGATAAAGTGTAGGTGTGGGTACCAGATGAATGGGTCTGCATTGCCGTGCATTAAGAGTCATGCCCATAAGTAGAAACAAAAGCTTGCTATCCTAAAATGCATGAGATTCTGTTTGTTTGCTTGGGACCATTCACGACGAGAAAACAATGATGCATTTGCTTTCTTTGTCTATGGAATTCCATCCAATCTCTCTTAAAATAGTTTCAAAAACGAATAAGTGAACTATTATTACTTAAATCGTTTACAATCATTAAAATACATATAAATCTGAAAATTTAAAAATTGTAAAACTGTTTCCTTCTTTTATATAAATGTCTTATGTTAATAATCAAGGATATTTATTTTTATAATTTTAAAATCATTGTTATATATATGTCCATCGCAACAAAAAGGATTATACAACATCCAACTTTTAATTATTAAATAATAAATCGTTTTCTGCACTCTGAATGAAATTTAAATCTACCAAGACCAGAATTTCTATGCTCTCGTTCAATGCCCATCGAATGCTCAGAGGCCGAAAAACACTTATGTTAATTGATATTTGCTAGGGACTTCGAGCTTGTAATGGTGAGGTCTAAATTTCTCTCAGGTGGGCAGCACCTGAAGCGGAAAACTCTGGGCAAAATGAAAGGCTTGGTGGGTCAAGGATTTTTATTTCTGCAGACAAACACACCCACAAATTGGGAGAGCGCAAATACACAGATATTATAAGAGAGGGAAGCGGAAAAACAAGATTGCAGCAAATAAATTGTCATTTTATCAGAGAGATGTAACATATAATACATAGTCGTTTCCAATATAAAACTTAGCTTTTGTACGGCCCATGTAAATTTGATTCAGCAAACGACAATTGAGCACTATTTCCAGGGAAATTCTGAATTGGAAATGCATATCCGTTATCAGCTTGAATCGATATTTAATTTATCCACTGACGAGCTCTGCCATTTGTCATCTATATATTGGACGAATAGAATGCACCTTTGTTTGGTTAACTCCCTTTATTCCAGACATGGTAATCAACACCACCAGTTCTGGCCATGACACGAAAATGAATATAAATGAGTTGAATACAAAGACTGTAGTTTTGGCCACATTGTGATAGGTCAGTTGTGGCCAAGCACACAACTTTCGAACATGAATTTTTCCCCAGTGTACATTTGAATGACAAATAGTCAAAGCCAACTTTCATTCAACCAACCGAACCGATAACTTTGTTTTTTTCCAGCACGGAAAAGTTACTAATTGCAAAATGATGTAGCCAACCGAAAGGTAAAACGGATTATTCAATCAAGCTGCATTGCTTTGATATGGAAATTCGTTTTGTGTAATCCATCCTGAAAGTTGAACATTTCTTGAAGGCGATTGATGGTTCTGTCCAGGGCTTGAAATTGCAACCGCTCTTCTCAGTTGCTACAGCTTCCGCTATTTCAATTGCATACTTTTGCGGGCAGGACCCGAGGGAGATTTCTGGCAAAGACTCGATGTCAGCGACAGAGCATTCATGACCCCACAAAGAGACTCCTGCGAGGACTTATCTTTGACACAACTTAATTGGCTTGGCTTCCCCGGGGATCGCTGGTTAGCTGGGATTGCAGGAGGTTGGGCTTCCACCTTGGGAAATTATTAACACAGTAAATCAATCAAAATATTTAATAAGAGAAATAACGTTTTTAAAAGCATAATTAAAGGAAATTAAAGGAAAGGAATTACCATTTCACACTCAAATCTTACTTATTAATCGCACTTTATTATACAAAATACACCCACTTAAGTCCATAAAATATTGTAAATCATTGTCTCTTTTTTCAGGTGGCCCTGTGTGACAATCTGGAGCTGCCTTTCCGGGATGACAGCTTCGATGCGGTGTTGTCGCTGGCGGTGGTGCACCACTTCGCCACCACAGAGCGACGTGTTCAGGCGCTCAGAGAGTTGGCCAGGATCCTTAGGATCGGCGGTCGGGTGGTGATTACCGTATGGGCGCTGGAGCAGCGACATCGACGCTTTGAGTCACAGGATGTGCTGATACCCTGGCAACCGCCCAAGAATCGAAACTATTCTTACTCGGATGAGGAGGATGACGACAACTTTCAGCCGCCCTACCACGCCTACACCGAGGACTCGACGAACTCCAGCCGATCGGCTGGGGATGGGGATAGCTCCAGTCTGAGTTCGTCCTCGCCGGGAGAGTCCTGCTACAGTTTCGTTCGCCGGGCCATTCAGGTATTACAGACTTGAGTTCATTTATTTAAATACATAACTTAAAAATTACTTTCTTAGAAACTGGCCCGTGGACGTCGACATGCGTGGTTTATGGACTCGTGGTCCTCGAAGGACACCAAGAACGACAGCAGTTTGGACTTCGAGGACGCCAAGGACCTTCCCATCGAGCTGCGTCGCCTAGAAGACTTTGAGGACTTTCCCGATCCACCATTATCGGCTGGACTCAAATCCCGCAGCTTGGGCAGTATTCTACAGCCCCCACCCCGCCAGATTGTTCGCTCGCGCTCTAGTGTTCCCAGTCTGGGAGGTCCTTTGATACCCGGCGAATCGAAGGCCAGTGCGGCGGCTCTATTACTCAATGCCCCGGAGGATCAGCAACTTCAGTTGCAACTCCAGCTGAATGGAAGGCATTCACCCACCACCACGGCAAGTGCTGGGAATACCTTAAGCCGAAGGCCCAAGCTCATCAAGCAGAAGCAGTCCTTGTGCGAAGATGACGCCGCCACGCCTCCAGCCCCCGAATCCTTTCAGATGGTGAGTACATTAAATGGATCCAATGGCGGAGTGAGCAGTAGCTTGTACACGAGGAGTGGCTGCTATGCTGGGAATTTCCATCAGCATGCCTCGTCGACGGCCACGCCACCTTCAGGTGATTTTGTCGGGGGAGGAACATCGGGAGGAGGATCTGGTGCACCCACCTTTCTGCGCAAACAGAGCTCTCTCAACGAGGATCTGATGGCCTGCAATCGCTTAAGGGAAAAGGAGAGGGTGCGCAAGCGCATCCAGAAACAAACCTCCCTGAATGAAGCCTTCCTGTGTAGATCGGCCTTGTTCTCCAAACGGCTTCAAGTAATCCGCGAGGGCTTCACAACAAAGATCAAAAGCTCCACGGGCAGCCTGGAAAGGGTAACCAAAACGAGCATAAACAAACTGATCCAAAACATAAAGAGTGGACCGCAGGTGCAGCCTAATCCTGCCCAGAATTCCCCTCAAGCGGACAAGAACGCCACGCTGAATAACAACAATAAGCAGGGAGCGTCGGCGTTGGCTCATCAGCACCACCATCATCACCACCACCACCCGGTTCATCATCTGCCCCATTTGATACTGCCCCCATCCACGGCCTCGGGACCCGTGACGTACTGCAGCAGTGTGGAGTGCACCATGGGCAATCTGTGCCACTGCAGCCAGTATCAGCAGGAGTGTCCCGCCTGTGCGGATGGCGCTCAGGGCGACAAGGCCCGGCGGCATTCCCGCGAATCCGGTTCGGACTCCTCCAAGGACAGCAGCCTGCAATCGGACACTAGCATTGAATCCGAGGACAGCTTCGCCTCGGTCATTTTCATACCCAAGCCGGAGCAGCATCAGCAGCAGTTGAACTACCAGCAGCAGCACCAGAATTCAAACTCCAGTTCGAGCAATTCGTCTTCGAGCAATGGGCAAAGGGCTCAGGGAGCCGCTGTTCGGGATCAGGGTGTGAATACCGGCTCTCGACTGCCGCCCACCCACTCAGTGCCAACGTCGCCGCTAATCATGCCCTGCCCTCCCACTCCAGCCCATTCTCCGGCTGCCATTCAGGGCACGGTGACCTCTCCGCCGCAATCCACGTCGGCTGTTTCCGCTGCCATGGCCATCCTGACTCCACCTTCGAAGCCAGCTAGGTTTAGCTTTGATGAGGCCCACATTAAGCAGCAAAAAGAGCAGCAAATAGAGCCAGTCAAGGAAAAAAGAGAGCCGCTAAAGGAGTTACCAAAAGATCCGCTCAAGGAGTCGCCACCTGTACGCAGGATCACCCGCCAAGCCATCAGAGATCTGCCACCCATTCCCAAATTCCGGAAACAGCAATCCCTGCAGCTGCAACGCCAGAGTTTCCCCATCGTAAGGAGAGCATCTGGTTCGGGGGTATCGACGTCGGCATCCTCCTCCTCACTGGCCAGTAAGCTACTCTCCTTGGAGCTTTTCAATCCGGCCACCGATGATTTAGACAGCGATTCCAGTGAACCCTCCTCGCCAGATTCCATAGACAGTGTGATTAGTGCTCCAAGGTTAGCCAAGGGGCCCTCGGGAAGTGACGAAGGAGGAGCGGCCTCCGCTAACTCGAATTCCGCCTCCCAGGACGAAGGAGAGCCCAGCTTGGCGCAGCTAATCAGCCTGCAGCAGGAGCAGTACCACAAGGGAGAGCTGCAGATCAATAGCTCTCGATCCCAGGCCGAAGATGATATTATACTGAATGCGGATAGTGCTCCACTCTTGCCCGAAAAGAGAGAGGCTACTCAGAAGCAGGATTGTGCGGAATTCGCGGAGCAGCTGACGGCCCAACTGCAGCGGGAACTGGAGGACAAAAGCAATCGCACCGAATGCCGATATCTGGATGGGATCGGAATGGGAGATCTATCCGAGTTCTTGGGCGGTAGCAAGAAGCGCTCCAATGGCGACCTGAGTGCTTTTCGTGATGAGCTCAGGGAACGTCGTCTGATGCTGGCGAATCTGTCCACGCAACCGAGTCTCCAGCAATCGCCCGTGAGCTCATCCACCTCATCACTTTCCTCACAAACCCGTAGCTTCACCATCCAGGAGGAGGATGGTGAGGAAGAGGAGGAGGAGGAGAACGAGTCCAGCTACTCCCTGGGCGTTTACGAGCACTGCAAGATCTCCAAGTTTAACTACAAACGGAATCGTCACTACCAACTCAATCCGGAGACAGCCTATCTCCTTCAGGACGATGGCGATAGTGATGTGAGGGAGGACGAGGACGACATCATACCCGAGGAGGAGGAGCTAGAGGAACAGGACGAGGATGCGGAGGCGGAGGCCCTGGAAGCCCGAGGCGGTGATCAGCTGGGTGAGGGAATGGCGGATTACGGCCAACGCAGGCGCAACTTGGCGGCCCTAAAGGTTCAACCACCAGCAACGCAGCAAATGCAACCTAAACAGGAGCCAAACCACCCGGCGAACCTCAAACAGAGACCCTCCAATGAATCTTTGGAGCACTCGAACAGTTCCACCAACTCTCTGGACAGCCCCTCGCAGGGAGGAGCCAGTACCCACCACCGCTACTACCATGTGTTCCGCGAGGGCGAGCTGGACGCACTAATCAACCATCATGTGGCCAGTCTGCACATCGTGAGCTCCTACTACGAGCGGGCCAGCTGGTGTGTGGTGGCCGAAAAGGTCCAGGTGTGGACCATCTAAGCACGGTTCTCTTAAAAAGGGGATTCAAAACAAACAAAATATTTCCGTTGCTTGAACCGAAACATGAATACCAAAAGCATGTGTAGTTAGCTAAAACTAGGGTTCTTATTATTTGCTTATATAAAAGACAAAATTCAAATTTGTATTAAATCTTTTTTTTATTTTTATCGACCTAACTTTAAACAAGGTCACACTCCATACATTTTATTAAACAAGTGAAACCAACTAAAAAAACTATTTACAAGCCGCTTAAAAAATATTTTTGAATTCTTTAATATTTGAAATTAGAACTGCATTTCTATTCAGTTAAATGATGGACCCATTGACTCGATTCAGTTTGAATCCCTGCTCCAAAATAAAAGACCATTCCTAGTTGTAGTCTCTAATCTGATGCCCCCAAAGGAATTGTTAAATTTAGTCTATTACTCTAGTCGGCTGGTGATTCGAAGGACGGGAAGCCCGTCCTCCGATCTAGCACTAATTTATTGTTAGCAGGCCTGCTCAAGGACGCGAACGCAGGATTACACTGCATTGAAATCCAATTTCAAGAGAAAACATAGTTATAAGACCGAAACTAAGCGAATCGAATGCTAGAACGATAACAAAACAACGCAAGCTTAATACAAATCTTACTAGTTATACGAGCATATTCTATATACAACGAGCATAAGTTTGTATCTTGCGCTATCTTTAAACTAAGTTTCAAGCACCTTAAGCTATTATTTCGAATCGAATAATCATCAAACGTCCATTTAAACAGAAAAGTTACGCCACTTATACACGAGAAAAGATTAAATACGAGATATACCGCTTAAAAAGTAGTAAAAAACTTCATAAATACAGTAACAAACGCAGCAAAACTCAAATAACCCTCTAACTAACCAATATCAAAAACTGCATTTAATTTTACGAGAAAACGGTTCATATATCAAAAATACAACAATACAGTAATTTAATAAGCAAGCTTACAAACGATTGTCCAAATATATTTTTCACCTGCTGATTGCACCATTTAATTTCTCTTTGATTATTCGAAGTATCCAACTCACTTCCCAAAAATGGCCAATAAACACAATTGTAATATAAGCCTATGCCTAAACTTAAATTTTTTGTCATCTTAAGAACGGTTATTTAAAAAATAACGCAAATATTTTCAAAAAAACAAAACATATTATACCTATATGCGACTGTACATGTGTTTTTTAGCTAGCTAAACTAACTTTATACCGTAAAATAATAGAACAATTAAATAAATATTAACTAAAGTTGGAGGCAACACTAAATCACTACAGATAGTTTGAACGATTTGAACCTACTACTGCTCGAAATGCTGAAACATTATAAATATTAGGTAATCCTGGAAAATGTATGTATAATTCGCACACAATCCACCAAGCACACACATCCAAAAGAGACACAAGATCCCCGGCTAAGACAGCGGAAAACCATCTGAATTATTCAATATTAATAATTTGTAATGAATTACGAACAACATTAAATAAACTAATATTAATTACCAATCTGTTTTTTAATATTAATAAACTGGTTGAGCTACTTTCTTATTGGCTATTTCCAAGTTTTTTGAGAATTTGTAGTGAGGTACCCAAAAATGAACTTCTATAGCCTATAACATTTAATTAATAATAATAATGATCGCATTAGAATAAATATATCTAACATTGATCAATTAGTTGACCCATTTAAAAGTTTGCTATTTCTCGGTGTGTTGACACAAAACTGCACTTCCGGAGTCACAATATTATCAAACCAGAATTTTTTCTTATGTTTTAACTCTTAAAGAAACTGTCCGGGTGGAAACGCATAAGGTTTTTCCGAAACACCCCGGATAAGTCTTTAAACTTTGAAGAACCAATTATGGCTTGTCAGCCCAATGGAGTTCAAAAAACAATCGGATATTTGCCTTTTGCCGATGGTTACATGGTCACCCTAGGCAAACATCGCACGCAGAGTGGTTGGCCAAAGGCCATCTCTAACTAGCGATTGCCCATCTCTACTTAGTTCGTGAATGGACGGGAAAAATAATATAACTTATAAAAGAGTAAAAAATTGGTAATAATAAATGCTGGAAGTGTCCGCCTGAGGAATACAAAAAAAGGACCGGAGACTACCAACAAATATGGCATCGAACGCTTTGCCTCTTCTCCAGGCCACCGAAAGAATGGCTTATCTTTTGCTCTCCAAAATCCAGTAAAAAGTCAACAAATATTTCTGAAAACAGCAAAAAATGGCCACACAAAAGCCAGGCGAGTGGGCGAGTGCCCTTTTGGCCCGTTTCGAGGATCAGGCAAGTGTTTTCAACGGTTTTTTCGCAGCTGCCTTTTTCCCAAACGAAAAAATGTACCTGCTGTTCTGCTTCTTGCTTTCCCACACATGCTCATTCTGTCTGCTAGTGTGCGTGTCTCACGCACTCTATGTGTGTGTGCTCTCAATCAAATGCGTGGTAGAGCGAGACAGCAACAATAACAAAAATACTGAATAGAACTTATGAATGAAATGAAAATAATCAATCAATTTGAATCCCATTAATTCCTGCAGTTGCCAAATAGGATCGGAGCATACGGCACGCAGGCCAGGATGAGCCAGGACCAACTGGTGGCCTGTCTAATCCACATATCGCGATACCGCTTCTCCTTGGTTATTTCCGGACTTACAAAGATGCTCCAAAGGGTCAATGAGGCGGTGAGTGCTCCAAGAAAACAACATCATTACCTAAAAATATAAACCTATCCTATTGCAGGCTCTTCAAAATCGCCATGAGCCGGAGCGCTGCTACTTCGAGTCGCTGGTCATCATACTGACCACCCTGGAGCGCTGCTTGACTAACCAGACCAAGGACACAGCTCGTTTTGAGGAGGCCATGAATGTAAAGCTCCTGCTACGCGAAATCTCCCAGTTTGTGGACGTTCAGAGCGACAATAATCCCAATGCTGCCCAGCTCAAGGCCCTGGCATCGAAGGTGCTTTTTGCCTTATCGCAAAATCACTTTTCGGCAGTGTTCAATCGCATCTCGGCAAGGATTCAGGAGCTGACATCCTGCTCTGAGGAGAACCCGGACTACAACGACATCGAATTGATTCAACATATTGATATGGACATGATTAAGCTTACCAAGCTGCTGCAGGGTGGGTGCACTTACCCATCCTTTGACGGAAGTTTATTAAAATGCTTTTGTTTTTTAGAAACCATCACAAAGTTTCGGTCGAAGCGTGCTCCTCCATTGATCTTGCTTTACTCACTAGAGAAGGCTATTTGGAACTGGATTGAGTACCATCCACAGGAGTTCCAGGACTTGCAACGAGGCACCAATAGAGATATATCCACGTAGGACTTGCATCAAAAGTATTAAAAGCAAAATACTAATCATTTGTATCCATTAGCTGCTGGGAACCCCTTATGGACTTTGTGGAGTACTTCAAAACCGAGAACAAGAAGAGCAAGACCCTTGTGTGGCCACTGCAAATGCTCCTGCTCATATTAAATCCCTCCTGTCTCGAAGCCGTAGTCAACGAACTGCAGCAGTCGGAGAAGGAAAAAGAAAAGGATAAGGAAAAGGTTGCTTCTAAGTCGGCTCAATCCACATCCCGGGACAAAGACTTTTCGGCCAAGCAGTTCATCGAAAGCATCAAACGGGGACTGGGCCAGCACTCGCCCTCTAAACAAGTCACCGAATCCTCGGCCATCGCCTGTGTAAAGCTCTGCAAGGCATCTACTTACATAAACAACACCGACTCCAACAATGTGGTCTTTAAACTAGTGCAGTTCTTTATTAACGATCTCAAGGCACTTCTCTTTAATCCGGCCAAGCCCTTCTCCCGCGGCCAGGGCTATAACTTCGCGGATATTGAGCTCATGATTGACTGCTGGGTTTCCTGTTTCCGGATAAATCCCCACAACATCGAGGCACTAAAAGTTTGTCTAAATTTATCGTCGCCGCAGGCTTATCACTTTGTCATTGTTTGCTCCCTGCTAAGGTAAATATTTCGAGTAATCAAATGACTATATCTCATATAACTTAACAAATATTTTTCAGATTGGCACATATATATGTGGACTTTCGCCTGCAGAACAAAAATCCTTTTCGGATTGTGAACCAACCGAGATTATCCTGGTGGCCACAAACGGATGTCGTTCATTACCGCTCCGCCGAGTTAAGAGCTCTTTTTACGGATACTCTTAACAAAGCCACCCAAGGTTACATAGCACATACCCCACTGCGCTATATAACCTCACTGACGCTGAAGTCAAAGGACACCCAAAAGGGTTTAACTCGGGCTGAAGAGGGTCCTGCACACAAAATGCTACTGCTGCTGCTAGTGCGACTGATCCATGCAGATCCCACGCTTTTGTTGAATGTGAGTTCTTCGATAACTTTATCCCTTAAAATGTTAAAATATATATTATATCGCAGACTCAAGGAAAAGTGGCCCACGAAGTGCAGAGCTCCACGTTGGAGCTGATCAACGGTCTGGTAAGTTTGGTGCATCAAACTACTATGCCAGATGTCGCGCAGGAGGCTATGGAGGCGCTGCTCGCTCTGCACGCCCCAGAAAAGATTGAGGTTTGGAATCCAGAGGCTCCTATCAACACATTTTGGGACGTCAGTTCTCAGGTGTTGTTTTCCATCTCGCAAAAGCTCATTCAGCACCAAATAGCGAACTACACGGATGTGTTGAAGTGGCTGCGCGAGATTCTAATCTGCCGGAATACGTTCCTTCAGAGACACAAGGATTACGCCCACGTGGGCAGTCAGATTGCCATTTGCAAACAAGCTCACATCAAGATGGAGGTGGTTTTCTTCATGTATCTGTGGAGCGTCGATTTGGATGCGGTGCTTACTTCGCTGTCTTGTTTCGGATTGCTGTGCGAGGAGGCAGAGATCTGTTGCAGTTCCGATGAGCTGACAGTCGGCTTCATTATGCCGAATTATCACATTTACCAAGAGTTAGCCCAGCTGTCCACATGTTAGTTTTTTAATTAAACATCTTTTGTTTCTATTCAAGAGTAATATTTTTATTTTAGCTGCAACGGACTCCCGCATTTGTTTCTTCGACAACACCCATGGCAATGTACTGAGTCGACTTACGCTTCAAAAGCGCATCATGACCCTATTGCGGAAGATTGAGCACTGTGTCCATGGTGTACAACCCGCTTGGGAAGAGACATTTCGGAACTGGGAAGTGTCTAGCAAGGTTTTGCAAACCTACCCCAAATGCAAGGGTGAAGATGGCCAGGCAGAAGTCTTCCATCGTGGCATGGGAAAGCGACGAGCTAGTCACCAGAGCTCAGAGCACGATTTGGAGGAGCAGATCAACGAATGGGCCAATATGACCTGGTTTCTTTTGGCTCTGGGCGGCGTCTGTCTTCACAAACGCAGCAGTAGCCGTCAAATGCTGCTACAGCAATCGCAGAACAATGCCTCGTTGGGATCTCTAGCTCAAAACTCTCTTTACTCCAGTTCCACGAGTTCTGGACATGGTTCGCTGCATCCTAGTACGGTTTCGCTATCCACGCTTCCACCTGCACCTCCACAAGATGTCAGCTATTGCCCAGTAACACAGTAAGACCAACCTTTCAGTTTTATTAAACACTTTATTGAGATATACTTGTTCAACACAGATTTGTTGGCCAACTTCTGCGTCTACTAGTCTGCAGCAACGAAAAAATCGGCCTCAATATCCAGAAGAACGTAAAGGAATTGGTAGGCGAGGAGATGTCGACCCAACTGTATCCTATACTCTTCGACCAGGTTAGGGCCATCGTGGAGAAGTTCTTTGACCAGCAGGGACAGGTGAACGTTAATGTAACGGACATCAACACACAGTTTATCGAACACACCATATACATAATGAAATCAATCCTGGATCCAAAGGCAAGTAAAGATCCCAACAACGAGCAGCCTTCGCCGTCGGAACATTTGGGAGTTACAAGCATCGAAGGAATGATGCTTGGGATCGTAAGATATGTTCGACACCTGGACATGACTGTCTATGCCATCCGAATCAAAACAAAACTGTGCCAGCTTGTAGAGGTGATGATGAAGCGCCGTGATGATCTCGCCTTTCGTCAGGAAATGAAGTTCCGTAACAAGTTGGTGGAGTATTTGACCGACTGGGTGATGGGTACCTCTCATCAGATTGCGCCGCCCAGTTCGGCTGATGCCGCTATACTCACAAACACTTCCCTCATCTTTCGAGATTTGGATCAAGCCTGCATGGAGGCAGTGGCGGCCCTGCTTCGCGGACTTCCTCTCCAGCCAGAGGAGTCGGATCGAGGCGACTTAATGGACGCAAAGAGTGCGCTTTTCTTAAAGTATTTTACCCTCTTTATGAATCTGCTAAACGACTGCATCGACAGCTCTGAGGCGGAAAAGGAGATGAATAATACTCCTTTGTTGCCTCCACGGCCTCGAATGGCAGCTGGAAAGCTTACTGCTTTAAGGAATGCCACAATCCTTG